CGCTGGCCTCTCGCAGACATGCGCCAGGATAATTCTCTCAAAAAGCTTACCCAGGATCAAGGTAAGACTAACTGGCTTATAGTTTCCTGGGTCCTCCTTCCTCCCTTTTTTGAAGATGGGAACCACGCTGGCCCTCTTCCAGTCCTCTGGCACCACACTAGAGCATGACGAGTGCTTGTAAAGCCGCGCCAGGGGTCCCGCAATGACCTCAGCTTATTCCCTCAGCACTCTGAGGTGGAGATCGTCCAGACCAGCTGATTTAAATACATCTAGTCCCTCCAGAACTTCCTTGACTAGATCCTCACTGACCTTTGGCCTAGGTGCGCCTCCCCTAGAGCCTGAGAGGGGCCTGGTGGGGAGGCTGATCCGGTCCCTGCTCAGGACAAGAGGCAAAGGAGTCATTAAATAGGTTAGCTTTGTTAAAGTGGTTAAATCGGTTAGAAATGGTGAGGGCAACACAGCAGGGAGCATTGCAGGTACGGAGCCTGGAGCAGAGGCAGGGGTGGAGAGGCAGATGTCTGCAGCTGGTCCAGGTTCTGGGTAGCTGCTGACAGCCACAGAGCCTGGGCTGGGGGGCAGGGGCTTTGGGTGGGAGGCAAGGGTCATGATCAGGGCATCCTGCCATGTACTCCCTGCCCTCATTTTGTTTTTCTGGCATGCCGGCACTCTGGCACCTTTCAAGGTAGGCATTGTGGAGGTTTTCGGCACTCTGGCCAAAACCATCACCTACTCCCGCTCTAGGCAAATCATTACCAAAGAACTGCTTTGCCAAACAGCTTCTCTGATGGCAAATGCTTAGCAGAGGTTCATGAAGCTCCAAGAACATGCTTTGCAGGTGCTAGAATTAAAGAGGTTTTGAGGAGAAGCCAAAGTTGCCTGGGTGGAGCATACTCCAACCGTAACCTATGGGCTCGCTTTAGCAATTTTATTGCAGGCACAGCCGCTGTCCAAGTGACATTTACATGGTCTTTGGGCAGATACTGCTGTCCTAATATCTGAAAGGCAAACAACCATGGGGATTTACAGAAAGGTTAAACACTGTTCATGTAAAGGGACAAGGCTCTCTTCAGTTCCAGTTCCATGATGGTAAGACCATGGGGCAAGTTTCACAGGGAGGATTTGCCACCACTGTGTATAATCTCACCCACCTTTCTGGCCAAGGTGATGGCCACCAAGAAGGCAGTCTTCACAGATGGATGGAGTAGCAAACTAGCTGCCATATGTTCAAATAGCAGGTGCATTGGGGCTGTAAGGACCAGGTTCAAATCTCACAGAGCTTCTCTGGTTCTTAAGGGTTTTCCGCACTGGCAGGTGGAAGACAACAGACTGACTCTCATAAAATGTGTGGTGAGCTACAACAGTTGCTTGGTACAGTTGCATAGAGCTGAGAGAGAGGCAACTGTGGCTCAGGTCCAGGAAGGAATCTAGGAAGAGACCTAGCCTGCCTCCCTGAATGAGAATGCCTCTTATAGTGGATGAATGGACCCACCTACCGCTAAAAGTGATCCAACATCCATGCTGCAAGATAGAGGATGTGCAGATCTGAATGAAATATCTGCATCTCCCCATTTGGGGAAGCAAGTCCAGGGCAGCAGCAGAGTTCTAGGGCTCCTCACTGACATGAAGGAAGATCTGGGAACCAGAGCTGCCCCAACCAGGCTGAGGCCAGCAGCATCAACTGTGCAAAATCCAGTCTCGCTCTCCTCAGCACTCACAACAAGAGGTGTAGTTAGGAATGTATACAAGAATGTTTCCCTGACCATGGAATGATGGATACATCAGGAAGAGAACCTGGGATGAGCCTTCCTTTGGAACAAAAGGGCCAACAATTCTTGTTAATGTCTAAGAAAAAATAAGTCTGCCATAGACTGACCTCAGGCTAAGAAAATATTCTACAGGACCAAGCTCTTGATATCCCATTCATGATGCAAGGAGATGCTTCTTCTGAGGCTGCCTGCTCAGGTATTCTAAACATCTGGGTGGTGCCCTGCCAACAGCTGCATCCAGCATTGATATACCACTCCTAGAGGATGATTGCTTCCTTAAATAGGGGACTGGTGGAGTGTGGGGGAAAAAATCTCTCTCATCCCCTTGTTCATTGATGGAGAATATCATGGTGGGTTTATCTGTCATCACCTGGATGCAATGCCCCATGACATAATGCAAGAATGCCTTGCAGGCTCTACAGGATGCCCCAAACTTGGCTTGATTCCAAGCAAGGGAAACCACAACAATTGAGAGACAGGCCCAAAAAGCACATGTGGAAAATAAGCTGAATATCAGCCAATTGCATGCCCTTGTTGTGAAGAAGGCTAAGAGCATACTGGGCTACATTAGTAGGAGTGTTGCTAGCAAATCAAGGGAGGTGATTCTTCCCCTCTATTCAGCATTGGTGAGGCCACCATCTAGAGTAGGGTGTCCAGTTTTGCACCCCCCACCAGTACTACAGAAAGGATGTGGACAAATTGGACTGAGTCCAGCAGAGGGCAACAAAATGGTGAGTGGGCTGGGAGACATGATTTCTGAGGAGAGGCTGAGGGAACTGGGCTTATCTTCTGCAAAATAGAAAATTGAGGGAGGATTTAATAGTAGCCTTCAATGACCTGAAGGGTGGTTCCAAAGAGGATGAAGCTAAACTGTTCTCAGTGGGGACAGATAACAGAACAAGGAACAATGGGCTCAGGTTACAGCAGGGAAAGTTTAAGTTAGATATTAGGCAGAATTTTCTCACTAGGAGGGTAGTAAAGCACTGGAACAGGTTTACCCAGAGAGGTTATGTAATCTCCATTCTTGGAGGTTTTTAAGACCCAGCTAGACAAAGCTTTGGGTGGGATGATCTAGTTGGGGAAGGTCCTGCTTAGAGCATGGGGTTGGATTAGATGACCTCCTGAGGTCCCTTCCAACCGTAATTTTCTATGATCCTATGAAAACTGAAGCCTTACATAGCTAGCTAAGACACATGGCAGAAGCCAGAAGAGCCGCAAGGTCTTGCTTAAGACAGGGACAGACTGAAGGGGAAAAAAGGAAGGGAAATAAGAGAAGGTAACTAAAGATCCAAAAACCAAAAAAACCCCAGGCTCTAAACTCAGCTGTAGGCCAAAAACATGGTTTGGGTCCTGCAATAGGTCCGTCTTCAGGCAAGGTGGTTGAGAGGACTGAGGAGCAGAAGCATGCACAACCCTTTATGCCTTTGGCAGAGAGAGACAGATGGTATGAGTGTTAAACAGGTATTACTTGGGCAAAAGAAGCGTCAGAAAGCTTGAGCACGCATATAACTACAACGAATGGGGCATATTATAGACAAGCACTCAAAAGGAGTTTGTGAGATCACATAGGATAGCAACATGCAAGTATGGAGATGAAAGGCAGAGTTCTAAACTGTGACTACTACTGCTACTGACAACCCTTGGCAAACATTTCCTCCACCCATTTCAGTCCAGTGCATCAGTTCTGATGAATACAGAGCTCTCTACATCTTCCTCCAAGTATATGGGAATATTACAGATGAGAGCACCTTGAAATCAAGTGGAACATGGCTGTCTCACAGGACTAGAATTTACAGCCTATGAACACACATGACTTACAGGAAAAAGATAAACCTGTTAAAACAGACAGGTGTTTTAAAAGCCAACTGTGATTTAAAGAAAAAGAAAAAAAAGGATTTTACCCGAGTTGAAAACATTTCCTTTAAGTATCACAACTAAAGATTTCCCTCAAAAAAAGATTCACAGTAACATTCTGAAAAACCTAAACCTTGAGACTAAATCCATCCAACAAGTCTCTTTCTGAATCACACAAGCCCTATTTAATGACAATGGAAATTCAAAATAACCACTGCTTCTGCAGTCAAAATGACACACTCCTGACTACCAAGGCAGTTACTGAAGATACCCTGTATTCCATTAAATTCAGAGCTTGCAAGACACGATTGGAGTGGAGCATGCTCAGGGCATTCCTACCAGCCAGTGTAGACACGACCAACTCTTTTTACTAATCACAAGGGGGGTACATAACCCTTAGACACTTTGAAAATCCCATTACGGTCCAGTTACAAACACAGCTTATCAGTTTGGAACAGCAACAAGCAAACCAGAAGGAACCTAGAAACAATATGGGTAATAAAGGACAGGGGCTGATATGGGCCTGAAAGTAGGGGAGGTTACTGGAATCCAGCAGAAATACTGCAACTGCATCTTCCAGCTCCCTTTGTTTTAAACCATGTTTGGGCACCAGTTACCCACAGAATAAAACCCTACAATTTCTCTGCAATATATATGCTGCCTTGCCTTGAATAAAGAATTCAAGCCTTATTTTCTTCACGTGAAAAAGTTTCCTAATCACTATGCTCCAGCCATGACCTCCTTGCCATGATGCAGCCCTTCTTGGCCAGACTTCTCACTGAACCTCTGACCACCGGTTTGGCCACATTCAAAGATTTGCACCAAGCTTATGCCTTCACCTTCACTATAGCCTCTGACCCATTAAGCTAGTTCTACCCCTAAACACTCACCACTAGGCAGATTAGTTTTCTCACAAGGTTCCCTGCATTGTACAGCTGGGACAGGAGGTCACAGACCCCAAGTTCAACAGACTCTACAGGACATACCTCTACATTTTTCATTAAGACAGTAGGACAACAAGCCCTCTCAGCCGACATGCTTTCTGCTCCTCCTGGACAAGACAGTTACCTAGAGTTTTCTCACGTACTTCCCTGAACTAAGCACAGCAGATATAGCAATTCAGTTTTGGGCTTCTCTACTAACTCAACATCCTTGTCCCCCAGCCACACCTCCCGGTGCACTATGCCAGCAGCCCCCACATAGTTCTACAAGTGCTACAAGCAGCAAAAAGCAAAAAGCGTGAACCCTATGAATGCTCCAAGCATCAGCAGTCCTGTGACTGCTGCTGGCCATTGAGTAAAATAACATGCCAGATTTTGGCTGGCTAAGTAGAACAGGCTTTCTAGACCATGCAGATACCCCGCAAGAAAGTGCCCTTACGTCATAGGCTCCGGCCTTGATCTGCTGATAGAGTTTGTGCTGATCTTCATCCCAAAAGGGAGGGTACCCCACTAGTAATATGTACAGAATCACTCCTGGGAGGGAGAGACACAGATACACTATGGTTAGGCTAATTTGCTAATTACTCCCATCCTCCATCAGTACAGCTATTCTACATACCCAAGGAGAGACCTTCTTTCCTTCCCTTTCATCATTCTCAGCAGCATCTATGCTGGATCTTCACTCTCCATCATATTCAGACCTCCAGGTACTGAAGACAGTAGGAGCTACAATTTCTTCTCAGCTGTTGGACTTGGTCCTGGCACACCAAAATCCACTGGGAGCCAGAGCAGAGTGTGTGGTGCCCCTCTACTGCTTCATGGCCAGTGAGTCACAGCTCCCAAGTGCTCTCAGAAACCAAATACCACTGTCCTTTAGGGTCACTGAACAGCAAGGTATTGCATAAACTTGCAGGACTGATGCATGCTATTAAGGTAAGAATGGCACTCAAGTCTAACACCCCGATCTGCAGGAATATGTCTATTGCACATCAGGTAGACATCCCTATGGTCCTATGGATTTAAACCAACTTCCTACAACATTTTATTTTCTATATAGCTAGCATACTAGGAGCTCATGTCATAAGCTAAACAACCTGGCATTGGCTCCAAGGCAAGGGTGGGTCCTAATTCTGTAGCCAAACAGAAGGATCTGATGGGCTGTCTGAGCACAGGACTGGGAAGCAGGATCAACTGAATACCCAACCAGACTTTATATTAGAAATTTATTGAGACTTCGGGCTGGTTGCTTTCCATCTCTGTGTTTTCATTTCCCCATCTGCAAAATAGGGATCATATGGGCCTACTGAACAGGAATGGCTCCTGTCTGTGAAAAGCACTGTTTAAACATGAAGTGTGTTTGTAACAGAAGCTTACCGCATGCCCATATATCCACTGGTTTCCCATAAGGATCTTTTCTTAAAACCTCAGGGGAGAGGTAGCCTGGAGTGCCGGCAAACCCTGCAAAGAAAGGAATCACATGAAGCATATACAATACACATGTAGAAAGTTCTTTCACCTTGTGCCACAGGATCTGTTGACAGGAAAATCCAAACTGCACAAATTGCCCTTTAGCTTATCACTGTCTGATATACCTTCTAGATACAGATACATGAAATCAAAAACAAAAAATAAATAAAATGGGGTGGGGGATGAGTTTACAGGCCACCAACCCAAATATCACTTTAAAATAGAGATTTTGATTTCGTCATCCTACAGAGCACAGATCCTTGGGTCACTTCTCTACTGAGATGCACGTACAGGTTGGGGATAGAGAACTGAAACTTGGACACTAACAGGACATGTCATAGCCAAATGTTGTGGACAGACCCATCACAGTTGCCATACTGCAGTAATCTGCAGGGAAATAATCCCTCAGGAATTTCAATGCTGAAAATTTACCTGGGCCAAGTTTGGTTTCCCATTCTGTTGCATGTAACCAGAGATGCATTTGGACCAAAGTGCTTAAGTTCAGATCAAAGCATGGAACTTTTCAATGGCCCACATTTCTCTAAAAATGCTAGAAATCCTCCCACAACTCCTGGGTAGTAGGAAAGTTTGGATCAAAATTTACACTTTGTAGCCAGGGTCTCCTTTATGACGAAACCCTATGGCACTTTGGAGAAAAACAGAAGAGATAATCACATTTATTGCAATTGCACTGAAATGTTAATTTTCCCATTGTATCACAGATCCCGATCAGAGGTTGATTTATACGGGTGTGCAAAATGGGCCGTATTCGATTTGGATTTGGGCCGAATTGGGGACAGTGATTCAAATCACTGTTCCCGATTCAATTCTGTCGAATATGAAGATTCGATGCTGATTTGGAGAATAAGCAATTCGGCCATAGACATAGCTTTAAATATTTTTTCTACATACCTCAAGG